CTTGGCCAAAATGGCTTAGGCGGTTACAGCGCCAAATAAGAGGAAGAAGAAGAATCTGAGGCAAATGACACGGAGGTATATTTTCAAATGCATACATATGAAAAATATGTACGAGGGTTTGTTTGAGCTTTTAAAAAGTATTTGGGTATATACGATCATTTGACTAACTCACGCTAAATGTAAAGGAAACTAAGTTCTCAAGGAAATGAAATTTGGTATATTTCTATTGGCTCGATGCAAGGACATTTGTGAGCTGGACCACATTGAAAATAACTAAAAAAATGTACCCGAAAAATTTCAGACATATTTATTCAGTAGAAATATTATGGGATGTGAATGGGTTAGCCTTGTAATCCTAGAAAGATAGCCCAGCACATATGTAGGTGCTTCCGCTGATAATATATTTTCGGTAATTTTTCATAAGGGGATTAAACCTAAATATTAAATTTTAGATCGTTAGAAAATCGTGTGCTTCTGAAACAGATGTTAATCTTTTAATTATGGTATGTTGTCATATAGTTATCTTTCTAGGGTTAACCATTCATGGTGTAGATCTTTTAAATTAAAAAAAGCGAAAATGGTGCCCTCGATATTATGCTTTAAGTTTAAGCCAATTGTTCCAGTGTTCACAAAAGCAAAAAAAAATTCCAGACAATTGCGTAAAAAGTGAATATGCCCTGCAGGAAATGAGACTAGTTTGTAGCTAGTTTGTATTTACTAACTAGCAGTCGACTGGTGGTAACTATCTATTAACTATTTCTTTTGGCCGTAACTAGCTACTTTTAAAGGGCGATTGCCACAAAATAGTGAGAACTGGTTTCCTCTGCATTAGGTGTCAACTAACTTATAGCTAACTACTTTTGGACATAAAATATCAATAAGAAAAGCAATTTTTTTTTTTACTTTTTTATTTGTTTACTTTATCTTATTACATTTTATATTTGTTTACATATTCTGCTGTATGCGGTCCCATATTCGAACACCATCAGACATAACTTCAAAATGATAATACATATATAATTTCGATCTTCCTTTTATTTGTCCTGTATTCGAAAAAGAATCTGCGAAGTTCAGGAAAAAGTGTATTGAAAGTAATTTTTGTATGAGGATATTTAAATAGAAACTTGTAAAAAAAACAGACTCCCGATAACGCCTGCATGACTCCTGCACGACTTTGTAACTAACTTAAAGTCAGTTTTGTCATAGCTAATTAAAAGTTAGTTATTTATCGAACTCCCGCAAAAAAGCTAACTAGAAGTTGGTTATTTTAATCGATTGATAATTTTTGTCTGCAGGGTGTTGACAAGGTTTTTTGATGTATAAACATCTTAGCTCTCGGTGTGGGTAAAACTTGCGTTAACACAGCAGAAAATTGCGGTAAACTGCTTCTTATGTAACCTAGCAGAAAGTCTGTAATTTCTTCTTTTGTGTACAAAAAAAGATTCCTGGTCTAGTTTCGGGGTTTTTCAGGGCCATTTCGGGACTAGTTATGGACCCTTATGGGGACTAGTCAGAACTATTTCATTAGTTCGGGATCACGTTGCGACTAGTTCAGGACTATTTTATGCCCATTGTGGGACTATTAGAGACCGTTTCAGGAGAGTTTCAAGACTTTTCGAGACAATTTCTCGACGTTTCCGACCGCTTCGGGGCCTGTTCAGGACTATTTCAGGACCATTTAACGACTTGTTGGGATCATTTCGGAACCATTTCGGAGTAATTTCTGCGACATTTGAGTCTAGTTCAGGAATCATTTCTGGCTCATTTCGGGACTAGTTCAGAAGCATATCGGGACTGGATAAAAACTATCGGAAATAGCTTGGGATCGTTTTGGTACTAGTTAAGTAGCATTGCGGGAAAAGTTCGGGATTATTTTGGGGCTATTAAGGAACCATTTTAGGAGCCTTTAAAGATTAGTTCGAGATCATTTCGGTACAAGTTAACGACTTTTCAGAATCACTTTAGGAATGGTTTGAAATTGGTCCTGCAATAATTCTGAACTATTCCAGAAATGATTATGGGACAGTCGTGCACAAAATAATAAATTGAAATGACATTAATGTTTCATTTCTAACCAAACCTAATTATATATGTAACTGAATCGGCTAGTACTTTGCCTAGCTGCACTGCAGTTTTTTTTTTTTGAAAAAAATAAAATATATCTATTCAAATGTGTCCTCAAAGCGGCCCAGTTGACTAACGTCATTGAATTTAAACAAAATACTTGTGTGAGAGTTATAAAAGGAAAGGAACGTTATGAGCCATTTAATTAAGCGACCGTTTTTTTCGTGAGACATCCTAATCAACACTTGTAACTCTATTTTGTCAAGTTGAACATAACTCACTAGACCATCTGACCTAGTTTTACTTACTGCTACTGTGTCGCCAAGCCAGGTGCAAGCCATAGCTTGGCTGTGAATACAGGTACAAGAAACATTTACATGCATATTCACTCATGTTTGCCGCAATCTTTATCCCACGCAATCAGCCATGAAGTCGTGCATTAGCTTTTATACATATTTACGTATGTAAGCGTATGCATTCTTGTATGTATGTAAATATGTATCTTCGTTCATAAACCCACATACCTACATACTGATGTATGTACCAACTATTCCTGTATGTCACTCAATCCGCAACATATATAACATGACTGTAATTGGTATGAAAAAATATAAAATAGCGCTACTGCTTACTCACCATGAATGCTGCACGCAGTATTTTGTGAATATTCTGTAAGAAATTATGTTTCCGTTTCAATTAGCATTACCATTACCAATGTCATTGTCAGCACCATTACCATTTTCGTTGTCATTACCATTACCATTACAAATACCATAGCCTTTAATATTCCCATTACCATTCCGATAATCTTTACTAATACGATTACCATTATCGTTACCATTACCATTACGATTGCTATTACTATTACAATTACCATTATCATTGCCATTGTCATAACCATAACCATTACTATGACCATAACCATTGTTACAATTATTACAATTACCATTGCCAATACCATTACAATTATCATTATTATTACCATCACCATTAATATTGTCATTTCCATTACTATTGCTATTACCATTGCTACATATGTATAACCAGTAGAATTAGCATTACCATTACTATTAGTAATACTATTACAATTACCAGTATTATTACAATTATAATTACCAATAGCATTACCATTACCACTGCCATTACGATAATCATTGCCATTACCCTTACCATTACCATTTCATTGTTTTCAAGATTTGTCAGCCGCCTTTTTAAGTCACCGTTTAGAGGTCCTTTTAGTCGGTTTTAGCATGCAACCTGACATATGTATATTAAAATGCATCACTCCCATACAACAAATAAAATCCTCCGATTTCGACTTGTGAGGTATCATCGGAAAGGTATTTTCTTACCCCTTAATTCTTTGCTAATAAGCTCATTCAAAGGGTGAAAGAGAAAGGTAGGATGAACGAACATCATTCGAAGTTGAATTAAGATGTGTTGGTATTTGAAAAAAAAAATTGGGACACGAATGACCTTTTTTTGGACATAAATAAAAATAGTGGGAAAATACCTTTCTACTGAGATCCCATAAATCTGAATCAGTATAGTTTTGGCCCAGTTATTTAAGTTTTTCGTAAATCAATCTTTGAAAAAAGTAAAAAGCATCAAAAATCTCATTATTACGATTCCGTTGAAAAGATGTTTAAATATTTTTATGTCGATTTTTTAAGCCTAGTGTGGTTTGTCATCTGAGGGGACTTTTTCAACAAGTTTTTTAAGAAACTATTTTTATTCATAAAAAACTTCATTTTGGAGGTATTTTCAAATCTGTCCAGCTCGCTTAAATCTTAATATTTTTCCGAAATATTTTGGTGGACGTCTTAAAATATAATAAATTTTGTAACCCCGGTGCAAAAACCGCAACTTTTTTTTGTGATGCAGTCTAATGTACATGCATACATATGATTGTATTTATCGAGGCTGCGTTTGCAAAACTAAAGGTATTTGTCAATATAAATATGCACATACATACATATGTACATATATATTTAGTACATGTATTTGTGGTACACCGTTTTAAGACAAAAACCGCAGGAGTTTACTAACCGACTTTTACACATAGCCCCCAATGAGGAAATATGTATATTGAATTTAAAAATACATACATACATAAGTAAGTACATAGTATGTGCGTATGCATTGAAAGCAATTACCTATATTTGTTTATAAACAAATCTAAATCGTAATCGACTGACTTTAATCCGTATATAATTTTAAAATTATAGGTTTTCCTTTTT